CACTTTTTTAGTTATCGCGTTCACTTTTTTGCCAAATTACAGCCTACAATATGACTTTCGACTGATTTTTACCCATTTTCTGTGTCTTTTTGCCCTCTATCTCGTGCGTTACAGCACCAGCAAAACCCCCTCTACCACCATTCAACGTATGACACGGTCTACAGGCTGGCTCGAGTTAGTTGTCGATCCTACACCCCATCACTGCCCTGTAATTCAAGCGCATTTTAACGTACAGCCTAACACTAATTTGGCTGCAAGTGGTCTAGCCAAATCAGACAGTTGTCAGGCTTTCTTCTCAACCTGGATGATTCCTACTGGCCCTCGAGCCTCCAAAATGACACGTGGAATAATAAAAATGTGAATTTCTCATTGACCTGCTTTTCCTAGGCTCACTGACTGTTGTTATGACAGTTTTGTGATAGTTTGACCACCACATAAAGAGGAACGGTATTTTATGCCTCTCAGCTCAGTAGGTAGTTCTTTTCTGCTTATCGCGACTTCGCAGCCCACTAACCTCTCATGCAACAGACTGCCAAATGCGATTTACACAACTGCAAGTCTCAGACGATCATTGGTAAAGCGGATACAAGATACTTTAGGGTAAGGTGATACCATACTAACAGCACAGGTACTAGCCGAAAGCCCCTACACGCATGTTTCGCTGATATTTTGCCGCTGCATGGCGCAGCTGCGAGGGGTTCGGCTCGTCAGTGGGTCGCCCAGCATTCCCCGTGTGTTTTCTGGTAGATACTGCAATTTAGAAATTGTCACTTTGTAACTTCCTCAAGAATTATCTACGAAGTTGGACTAGATCAGTTTCTTCAAGGGCTGTGGCCCAAATATTCATGTATAAAATTCTCGGTTTGGGCCTATAGTTCTAGAATATACTAATCTATTCCATGTTCGTAGTTAACTTCTGGCGAAATTAAAAGGCAACAATATCCATACATAAAAAATTCGGTCTGAGCCTATAGAGCTAGAATACACTGATCTACTCCAAGTTCGCGGTTGGTTTCTAAGGAAATAAATAGGACTGTGCAGGAACTCTGGAAAATCCATGTGCTCAGGTTGTCCCCTCACCGAAGACCTCGATGTGGACGGATTTTCTCTGGCCGATAATCCTTCTACAACTGGCTTTTCACAACAAAACAGTGAATGCTAGACATGTCCTATCTGTACAGGTAATGGTCACTGTGGTGATTCTTGACTTCGGTGTTCAACAATTGGGGCACCGTCGATGTTGAAGGTGGAAAACAGGGAATAGACAGTTATGCACGCATCTTATCTTCTAAAATCAAGCTCAAGCATGGTTAAAGACCATCATCTCTGCACACTGACCCGCTATCTGCAGCCTCGGAACTTCGGTTGCCACGACGCCCCTGGCTGTGAACTGCCACAACAACCGACTATCAACTTAAGATTTACGGTCACGGTTTCTGATTTCTTTCTGTTTAGGATCTCCGTCAAAAGCGCGCACCCACACACACACACCGGAAGCGCCTAATTAGCCACTCAGTTACAGCAACGCCGTAGGGGTCCCAGCTCCACCGTAGTCTACTGGAGACATCGGGTGATTAGTAATGCTCATTTCCCCGTTAGCTGCATGTGAGCAGACACTCACCCCACATTTTCTCAGCTGACTGAATAAAAATGTTTTCAAAAACAATTTCTCTCAGCCTCATGTCTCCTCTAAGCCAAAAATGGCAGGAAGCACCAGAAGCTGCACGGAAATGTTTTTGGGCTGCTTCCATCCGTGCACGTTTTAAATTTTATCGCAAATTAACCTGCACTTTTGAGGCAGACATCGAAAACAAAATTTTCTGTCAGTTCTGTGCACAAATTACGCCCACTCAAAGCACATCTGTAATACAGAGCAGATCTGAACAGTGAGTTTAGCTTAAAGACCAGGTGGTTTGCTGCAAGCCATTTGGATCGAAACCGCCGTTTAACAACTAGCCGCTGTCTTCGGTCCTAAGCGGCGCTTCAGTTTACGGCCCTTTAAACTATCGAAAGAGCCACTGCTTACTTGGTCAGTCGGTTTTTTCTTCTGGAAGGCAGCGTACTCCCAGCATTGAGCACCAATGGTAGTATTGGTAGTAGTAGTAGTAGTAATGGCGGTAGTAGTAGTAGCGGTAGTAGTAGTAGTTGTTGTTGTAGTAGTAGTAGTAGTAGCAGTAGCAGTACTAGCGGTAGTAGTAGTAGTAGTAGTAGTAGTATTAGTAGTAGTAGTAGTAGTAGTAGTAGTAGTAGTAGTAGTAATGGCGGTAGTAGTAGTAGCGGTAGTAGTAGTAGTTGTTGTTGTTGTTGTTGTTGTTGTTGTTGTACTAGCGGTAGTAGTAGTAGTATTAGTAGTAGTAGTAGTAGTAGTAGTAGTAGTAGTAGTAGTAGTAGTAGTAGTAGTAGTAGTAGTGGCAGTAGTATCAATAGTAGTAGGTTGCGAGTGGATCTGGGAAACTAGTTCGCCCGCCTCGAACCTAACTATAATAAGTAACCGGGAGTGGTTTGAAAACTCCAAACGTAGTAACACAGCCCCGAGACCGAAATTTCGGATGGATTGTATAATACCACAGAGACTGCACAGTCAACCATGCAAGTGCCACCGACGCTCTGATAGGAATTTACTACCGTCAGTTGGCAGTTTCTTGCGATCATGCTCTGGGCGTTATGTGGTGGTTAAAAAGCCCTACGAAGTGGATCGACATCCATTTATTCGATTCAGCGCATGAATAACAACAAAGGCGTACTTGCAGGCCATTGTAGCGGGACTTCAGGTCACCAGATTCTACAGGCGCCCTGATTTAAGGAAATGATCATGATGAGCGGCTCCAGAGTGGGGGTAAAAAGATCCCATGCGAAATAGACACAATAAAACTGCATGCATAACTTAGAAATAATGAAGAAACCAGCAAAAGATTGGGCTAATATTTTGAGCACGCATGCTACCTGTATTTAGACGACAGTCCGGCCGTCATTGCCGACAACGTCCACCGTGTGCTCCACAACAAGTCTTGCACGTGATTTAGTTTACAGTGAATGTAGACTTCTGCTGCGCCTGCCGCATCCTTACCCCTCCACTCCCACCTGCAACAGGCTTCCAGACACAGTCAAGAAGACCGGAGGCGGGGGAGGGCGCAGGTGGATGGCACGGTCGAGCCCACACCTTGGCGCTCCACTCCACATCCCTGGTCCATGCAACAAATGACCAGGATTTTAAACAACAACAAAAGGGCTGGCGCGGCCGAAGCCTCACCAGGGAGTGCCGCCACACCTGGTTCGGATCCCACGGAGTGGGAGCGCCATAGAGGCCGCATTAAGAAGGAACCATTGCAGCCTGACTGTTAGACCACTCCACACAAGCACACATCGCTGGGCTGACTGCGAGGTCCAAGTTATCCCGTCAGTTGGCAACCTTCCAAGCCTCGGCTTTTAGCGCGCCATGGCTGTTCCAAGCGCGTCAGGTTGTTTATAGTGAGGAGAAAAGTGCGCTGAGTCGTCGATCTCATTCCTCCTTCCCATTCCCAGACCCCAGCCACTCTCCGAACCGGTTATTTGGCAGTTTCGGGGAAGGGGCCTGCTGGCTGACATGGTCTGGTGACCTTGTCTGCTCGCGCCACATACACGACCTGGTCCCCAAACATAAGCACCAAGATTTCACACAACGGGGGTTGAGCGGCGTACATCTCACATCCGTGGGAGTGCCGTAGGTAACGTTTAGAAGATGGGGTTTCAGCCTGGCTCTCAGCTCACCAGTCCGCCACTTCACACACGCACATCTGGGCAGACTGTGTGGACTGAGTTGACAAGTCAGTCAGCAACCTTCCAGGCCACGGTGCTTGGCGCACTGGCATAGTCTTCGACTCGAATCACACCTGCAGCCGCAGGGAGAAGGGGTCGAAACGCGCACCTCCCACTTGCGTGGGAGGTGGCAATCGGATGCCTGTGGTGGGTGATGATGTTGCGTTATGTAGGTGGGGGAAGATGTGATGGTGAGGTGTAGCCGGCGGTTGTTTACCGCAGAATTTTGCTTCTCAATAGGCCCATGCGGTGGATAAATATGAGAGTGAATGAGGGCAGTTTAGGAAGATGCTTCGGGTGTATACTGATGCTCCCGGCCCTGCTTTGCCAGTCTCTGTTCGATGCGTCTGCAAATGACCGATCAGGCGGACGCGTGAGGTGAAGTCGTGGTCGCAATGAGGACAAGTATGGACCATAAGTGCTTGCTGGGGCAAATTTTAAGAGAGAATGGATAAAATCTGCCTAACCTGTCAGAAATGACAGCAGCAAGGGAGAAATAGTCAATCGGTGAGCTGTGATGCAAGTTGGAACGCGAGTGAGGTGACGGTTAACTGAGTTCACCCATTTTGTGACCTGTCTCGATTTATACACCCGCACACCCATCTCGGTGGCTAAGAATTTGGCAGGGTTGGGTTTCGTGAGTTAAGACGGTAACACTAAATAACTGGTTTTTCGCAGTTGTAGGCAGTTTGCAAACACCTAATTCCAGTTTCTTCAACTTTCATAGGCAAAAAGACAGTCTGGTTGCTAGATCTCAATAAGCTTTTGCCCATCATGGAGTCCTTATCTAGCATCGAGTTTGTTCTCGGAGGATTGCTGTCAACGTTCCTCTGATGAAACTAGGTTTATGCCAATTTTCTGGAAAAAAAAGTGTTGATACGTGCGAGTGACCTATAAATAAACATAGTATGGGACACAGGGACAAACATCTCAAGCGACCAAGCTTTAATTTCTTCGCATCATTGAGCAGATGTTTTAATCTTCTCAATTAAATGTTGGCGACGGAGAATTCTGAAAAAGCCACCGGCTAACTGTCTGCTGAGTGGTACATAGGTTACGTTAGGAAGGAACCATTTCTGCCTTACTCTCAGCCCACCAGTCCGCCATTCCACACAACCACACAACTGTGTGGACTGAGCTGGTGAGTTAGTCAGCAGCCTTCAAGGCCACGGTGCTTGACGCACTGGTATGGTCTTCGACTCGGATCACACATGCAGCCGCATGGAGAAGGAGCCGAGTTGCCCACTTCCCACTTGCGCGGGAGGTGGCAATTGTGGTGGGTTATGATGTTGTGCGATGCGGCAGGGGGAAGATATGACGGTGAGGTGTAGCTGGCAGTTGTCTACCGCAGGGTTTCGTGAATGTGCATGCGGTGGGTGCTCCTGGCACTGGTTCGCCAGTCTCTCTGTGATGGATTCGCAAGTGACCGACCAGGCCGATGAGAGTGGAGAATGTGCGGGGACAGTGCGGTGCTTGCGGTGCTGGTAATGGTGGTGCTGAGCGCATAGGGCAATGAAGCGAGGATGGGGCTGGGCATGGTGGATGGTGGTGGATGTGATGGGTATATCGGGACCGCGGTAAATTCCGCTCTCGTGGATGCGCATATGACCGAATGGGCCCATCCGATGTCTGAAAGTGCGAGGACAATGTGAGCGGTTGAGTCGAGTGCGGTGGGTGTAGGTTGGTACTCCAGGCAGTGTTTTTTCAGTGTCTGTCCGACGGATTCGCAAGCGACCGACCAGGCCGATGTGTGATATGATCGCAATGAGGACTGTATGGACGGAGCCCACATCGCTGGTGCTGGCAGTAGTGAGGTTGGTGTCTGTTGGTGTGTCAGGATTGAATGCAGTGGCAGTAGGTGCAGGAGCCGTCGCAGCGGATGTTGAGGCGATGGTGGAGGATGGCATTGGGGGTTCAGGAGTGCGGTCAGTGTTGACTGTCGGCGGGGAATCGTGGCAGAGATGAAGGCGGAAACATCGGGATGCTGGATGCTGCAGTTGGTCCGGCGGTGTCCAATGAGACCGATTGGTATCCGAAACGTCTGCTGGCATAAGGGGCAAGTTGAGGACGACTGAGCGTTGGCGTTTAAAGGTGGGGCAGTTGTGGTTTTCGAGTCTCGCGTTCGGCTTTAGCGGCGGTGATGCGCCTGTCTCCAATGCTCAGCACCAGGTCGGTCGGTTCCGTGTGAAGTCTTCCCGGGTGGCCGGGTTGGTCTGCAGACGTTTAGGGGATGTCTTCAGGGTATCCTTGCTGTGCCAGACTTGACCAGCTTGTCGGCGAGAACCCGTCGCGACGTCTCCGTAGAAGGGTCGTTTGGGTAGTCGCTCGTCGTCCATGCGCACCAGATGGCCGCTCCAGCGCAGCTGCATTTGTCTCGGCATGGTGTAGATGCTGAGCATTCCCGTCCGTTCCAGCATATCAGTGTCGGGGATTCGATCCTGCCAGTTCAGCCTCAGGATGTGACGAAGACAATTGAGGTGGAAGTGGTTCAGTCGGCGTGTCTGCTTCGTGTTCACCGTCCAAGTCTCAGCTCCGTGCAACAGCGTCGGGAGGATGACGGCCTTTTACACCTTCAACTTTCTGCTGAGCTGGAGACCGTGACGATTCCAAACTGTGTTTCAAAGGTGGATAAAGTCTTAACTGGCCTTTGAAACCCGGCAGAATACTTCGACGCCGATTTTGGTGCTGCAAGAAAGGGTACTGCCCAGATACGGGAAGTTGTCCACCACTTGCAGTTGGGTTCCGTTCACGCTGATCTTCGGCGCATTGTGGGGAGGGGCTGTATTGAGTGGCGGTTAGTGCATGATCATCGTCTCCTCCATGTTGATGATCAGACCGAAGTCCTCGCAGGCGGCGGAGAAGGGGTCCGTGTTCCTTTGCATGTCCGCTTCCGAGGTGGTGTTGAGGGCGCAGTCGTCGGCGAAGAGAAGTTCGTGAACGGTGGATGTGAATACACGCGATTGGTAGTGCATCCGCCGTTGACTGCAGAGATGCCAGTACGCATCCCTGCTTCACTCCGTTGGTCACTGCGAATGCCTCTGAGACAGCTCCGTTGTCCGTGACTCGCGCCATCATACCGTCGTGCAGCTGACGCACCATCTGGATGAATCGCTCGGGACAGCCAAATTTCTGCATGATCTTCCACAGTCCTTCACGATTCACCGTGTCGAAGGCTTTCGTCAGGTCCACGAAGGTAGAGTACAGGTGGGTCCGCATCTCCTGGCACTTCTCCTGAAGTTGACGGGTTGCGAAAATCATGTCCACGGTCACAGAATAGCGGCGGAAGGCGTACTGGCTTTCCGGCGGTAGAGGGGAATGCGAACAAAATTTTCCTGACGATATTCAGCAAGGAGATGCCTCAGTGATTGTCGCAGAGCTGGCGGTTTCCTTCTTAGCTGGAATAGATTCACGATGCATCAGTTGTGTGAGACAACTGACTTGGAAGTGGTCGAGTATTTAGATACCAAACATTACACACCCCAACTACTTTTGTTGGAAGGTTGATAGTCATATTACTAAGTCATCAACTGCACTCGCAGACATGGTGGAGGGTTAATAATGAATGTGCCAATTCGGCACAGAGCGTGATCCTGTGTCTTTCCGCTCCCTGCCGCCTTCGGAATGTACCGCGGCAGTCCACGCTTCCTGGTTCTCCGCCGATTTATCTACAGTGAGTGACCAATTTCATGAAATGTTGGCAGAAATTCTGAAATGCGTTTTCGATTAGAAAGGATTACGTAGGTGCGGTTGCATTACTGATTATCTTTCGGTATAATCCTATGATATTTCGTACTTGGCAGGATGTCAGCTTTTGAGTAAAGTGCACTTCAATCTCCTGTAGAAACCGTGCTCGGTAAAAAATGACTACTTAAGTGGCGTGTATTTTCATCAATGATTTTCGATGGTTTTGCAAATTCAAATAGATTTTGGAGAAACCACGAACAAAATTACGCTTTCTTTTAGTCTTTTGACAGATGATCACGTCAACTTTATATTTTATGCCCGAGGAAAGAGGATAATTAAGTTTTAAAAAAGTTTCTAACTATGAGATTTTTTTAAGACCGCGCAATGTCCACTCACATAGCATCTAACCCGTCCATTTATCACTGCTCCTCATGAAATGCACGAGATAGTCCACATCCATTGTAAAATTTTATGAACTCTATATGATATCTTTTTAAAGGCATAGAAGAATATGCGATTTTCTCTACGCGGAATGCATGCACCTTGTAGAGTGAAACCACTAAGCGCTAATGCAAAGACTGATCAGGCTCCGAATTATTTGCCAATTGGAAAACTTTTTAAAACCTAATTATACTCCTTCGTCGAGTATAAAGTATAAAGATGACGTGATTTTCTTTCAAACAACTAGAAGAAAGCCTAATTTTTTTCGTGATTTCTCCAAAATGTATTTGAAGTTGCAAAGCCATCGAAAATAATTAATAAAAATGTATGCTACTTAAGTAGTCATTTTTTAAAAAAGTGAAATTTCTACAGGATATTGAAATGCAGAGTATTCAAAAGCTGACATCCTGCTAAGTTTGAAATATTATGGGATTATGCCGCAAGACAATCAGTATTACAACCGTGCCCAAGTAATCCTTTCTAATCGAAAACGCATTTCAGAATTTCAGCCAAAATTTCATGAGATCGGTCACTCACTGTACCTGTTCCTCTGTCCGCCTAACGCTCCCTATGGATTTGCTGCTGATTTCGTGTCATTGCCGGGCACAAGGACGGGTTATAACAACTCCACGGAGTCCCTCAACCAATCTCGGTTTCCGCTACATCCCTTTTCTGCCGTGAACCCCAACCCTCGAGTAGGAGGTACCCTTTACCCGTTCCTCCCTCGGACAACAAATCTGGTCACTAATATTGCGCGGCGTTCGGTCTCCGGACACTCGCCCTCCTTTGAAATCCCCGTTGAATGAACTTACTTATCTGACCAAACCTACCGAAGAGTCCGCGTTTATCCTCAAATATACAGTGAGTGGCCGATCTCATGAAATGTTGGCTGAAATGCGTTTTCGATTAGGAAAGATTACTTAGGCGCGGTTGTAATACTGATTATCTTATAGAATAATCCTTCAATACTTCGGACTCGGCAGGATGCTAGCTTTTAAGAATACTGCTTTTCAGTCTCCTGCAGAAACCGCACTCGGCAAAAAGGGCCTACTCAAGTAGCATGTATTTTCCCACTGATTTTCGATGGTCTTGCAAATTAAAGTAAACTTTATAGAAACCATAAACAAAATATGCTTTCTTCCAGTCATTTGACAGAGAATTACATAATCTTCATATTTTATACACGGAGAAGGAGTATAATTAGGTTTTAAAAGAGTTTCTAATTATGAAATTTTCTAAGACCGCACAATGTCCATTCATTTAGCACCGTACCTATCCGTTTACCACTGCTCCTCATGAAATATGCGACATAGTCCACGCCTGTGGCAAACGTTTATGGATTCTGTATGATATCTTTTTAAAGGCCAAGAGAAATATGTGATTTTCTTTACGCGGAACCCATGCACCTTGTAGAGCGAAACCACTAGGCGCTAGTGTAACGACTGATCAGGCTCCAAATTATTCGGCAATGAGAAAACTTTCTTAAAACATATTTATACTCTTTCTCTGAGTATAAAATATAAAGATGACGCAATTATCGGTCAAACGGCTGGAATAAAGCATATTTGTGTTTATGTTTCCTACAAAGTATATTTAGATTTGCAAGACCATCGAAAACCAATGTGAAAAATGCGTGCCATATAAGTACTCACCCTTTACCAATTGCGGTTTCTACAGGAGATTGAAAAGCAGTTTATTCAAAAGCTAACATCCTGCCGAGTCCGAAGGATTATGCTGCAATATAATCAGTATTACAACCGCGCCTAAGTAATCTCGGTAACAATTGGGAGAGGGCACCCAAATAGCCGTTGTCATCGGAGCCAGATTGGTGAAGGGGGTGCGAGTGAGTTTGGCACCTCGCAAGTCAAGACACGGTACTGCACTCACTCTGTAGGACACTCAGTGAACCACATCGATCGAATTGCCATCATGTTTGTGCGTGCCCACCCTTGCATGATTGGCGAGGAAGCTGAGAGTGAGAGTGAGGTTAGATGTCGTCTGGGTTTTTTTTGGTTCGCGTTCGCCACTGGGATTTAGGATAGTCCTCATCAGCGGCCACTTGATCCCTGTCCTCGACTCCTCAGTATGACGCTTGATTGAGTATCGTAACCCAGGAATGAGATCTCCATTAAATCTCTTGATCCAAAGAGGTAAACAGGCAGTCCTTAGGTTACAAGCATAGCCTTCAACTACAGTTCGAGTTAACCTTTATTAGAATTCAGGGAAAAGATGTAGTTGGTAAGAAGGGACTTGTTAAGATCAAAGAACGAGACTGGCTTATTTCCTCGGAGAGCAGGTCTAACGGAAGAGCGTGGGGAGCGGAGAACACACCCACAACTTTATGGTTGAATGCTCTTCCCAGATATCAGTCTGGGTGTTATCAAGGCAAGTTTACGTCTGCTCAGAGTACATAGACGCCTAGAGAACATGGATGGAACATACATGAACAACACCACATGCGAGCAACAATTGGAGATCTCAGGAAATGTTAACCGAGATTCTGAAATGTGCTTTTTATTATGGAGGGTTACATACAGTACGGCATATATCTCATGAAACCTGATGGCGGAAACTGATGTGAGAATTTTTGAGAGACTTAAGCGTTGCGCATTTTGCTTGTTCATTCAGCCCCTTCAAGGAAATGTCCTTTTCTTTTGCAGAATTGTTGTTCTTATAATTCTATCAGCCAAAACGTTCCATGAATTTGAGCGAAAATTGACGTCGCGATATACCGCGAACCCTTGGAAAGCTGTTTGGAAATCTATAATCAGACTCAGTAACAAATCCCGTATTCTTTAAATTTTATGTTTAAGTAGAGGGTTCTTTTGGTTTTAAAATTTTTTAAAATTCTCTTATAGTTTTCAACTCGATCTGCCAGTGCATATTCGTTCGAGGTTTAGAGTCTTTGAGCTGCATACTTTCCGTGTAGGAAAAAAACATACAGTCCTGTATTCCATTAATAAAATATTATATGGGGCTCGCAAAATGTTGCAACAAAGGTGGATTATGTTGTATTCTTAATGAGAGGCATTATTAAACAGACGGGCACGATGCCCTTTGAACGGACATTGCACGTTAAAAAAACTCCTAATTTAAAACCCTTTCATAGCCAAAAGATACCCTTACTTCGAGTAAAAAAAGTTTGAAAAAGACTTGATTTGCCATGAAACGAGTACAAATAAGAATACTTTTATATGCGTTTCATGCGAAATATTTTTGAATTTATAAGGGCAGCCAAGATTGAGGGGCGAAATGTATGCTAATAAGTAATTATTTTTTATCGAGTATAGTACATTCAGACACTTTACGACAGACGCCCTTCAAACCTTTTATTCTCTGTTGGTTAACAACTAGTGTTTCCTCTTTTGCTACAGCATACACGTAATGGGACGGCAATCAGAGCAACTACGAAAGTTCTGTAAACCATTCCCATTTGAAAATTTTTTCCGTTTCGACCTTCTCGGTCGGCATACAGTCATATTTGTCATTCACCTCAAAGGACGTTACCGTGATTCCGTTCTTCTTTCTATGAAACACATTAAAGCAGACAAGTGGACATTTCCTACCTTGTAATGTTAGCCGGGTGTCTAAAAATGCACCTATATTGATATTTCTTTTTTGGCCAAACTTCTTAATGACATTCTCCTGTCCGCTCGGTAACTAGAATTATCGTCCAAGTACGATTTCGCGGAACTTCAACTTAACAAGTGACGTAGACGCCATAGTAACCGACATGAAAGTGTTCGACTAATCGCCTGATAGCCGGTTAAGCCATTCTGCAAAAAGTGTTGATTACACATTCTCGATGCAGCTATAATCTGTCAGGCATTTGATGAAGGAAGTAACCTGCGGAAGTCGCATTTCTAACTCATATAGATTATTCATAGAGTCGGTTTCTTCATCTTCGGCAGCAAGGGCAGTGTAACTTAGTGACAAATAAGAGGAGATTCGGAAAATTGTGCATGGAGAATAAGTGTATCTACTAAGAGACAATTTACTGATT